GAGGGTCCGCACCGTCGAAATTCGCTCTTACTGCGTCGCTCGCTTGCGGCAGCGGTCCTCGAAGAGGCCCACCTCGCGGGACGCGGCCAGCGAGCCTCCGCGGCGAGCAGGAGGGGCTGGGATCGGGGGGGGGGACTGAGCACTCTCTCAGGGTGGAGAGCTCAGGGTGAAATCCATGTGGTTTTTGCACCTCAAAGACCAATCCGTCTCGTGACTCGCCTTTTGCAGATTGGCTCAGGCCTCGAAGATCCATTGAAACGGCATTTCAGATGTCACCCTTTGCCCTCCACCCAAGGAAAATGCGCGGGGGAATGCGCGGGGGGAGGGGGCAGCGGCCCTCCCGGAAGGCCCCCCCTGGCATGGGGAGGGGGGAAGGCTTCTTGGAAGGAGGCTGCTTCTGAGAAGGCGCCCTCCTTACCTCTGCAGCCCTGCGTCTACACGCAAGGCCCGCGCTTGCTCAGGAGCAGGGATGCTTCTAAGAAGCCTTCCCCCTCCCCCTCCTCCCCCTCCCCCTCCTCCTCTTCTCCTCCTCCTCCCTCCCTCCTCCTCCTCATCCTCCTCCTCCTCCGCCTCCTCCCTCCTCCCTCCTCCTCCTCCTCCTCCTCCTCCTCCTCCTCCTCCTCCCTCCTCCTCCTCCTATCTGCGCGTGGCTGAAGGCTGCTGGAGGTGCCCCTGGCCCAGGGTCGGGGAAGGCCGACGGCCCAAACGCACCCCCAGGACGGCGTCACCCCAGTGAGGTGCCGCAGCGGCCACGGCGGGCGCCAAGGCGCAGCCGCCGGGCGCCTCGGGGCGGGCCCCGAGGCACCCTCTCCAGGGTGCGTCTGCTCTGGGGTACGCTTGGCCTCCCCTGGAAGGTGCCCCCAGCTTTTCGCTCCACCCTTGGGCCCCTGGGTGCCCCTTAGGGGCCTCTCGCGGGGGAGGCGTGCTCTGGAGGCCGCGGGGGCCTCCTCGGGAACCCTGGGGAAACCCAGACCCCCGAAGCCGTGACTGTTCCACAGCGTCGACCCCCAAAGTTCTGGAACCCTTCCCCGGACCGCTTTTTCGTCCCGAGTCGTTTTTGACATGTTGACGGCCCCGGGGCCCGGTAGGAAGGGCCCCCCGAGGCCGAAAACAGCGAAAAACCGCCCGTCGTGACTTCTGTCACGGCGCGAGGGGGTCTGGGAACCTTGGGCCGGGGGCACCCCGGCTGGTCGCGACCGACGAGAACGGCCGCTACCGACCTTGCTTCAAATTTGGGCATCGGTCGCGACCGAGTTGCTTCAAAATCGGTCGCGACCGATCGGTCGCGACCCTTCTGGAAGCGCCGATCGGTCGCTGCCGATCGCAACCGAAGAAAACGTCTGTATCTCCGACGATCTGGGCAGAGGGCCGCCGCCCTCGCCTGGCCTTCGGTCGGGCACCTCGGGGCATTTTGGAGGAACAAAACCCGCCGACCCTGTCGGCGTGTGGAAGGGGCTGCTGCGTTTGCCTCGTCGTCGTCGTCGTCGTCGTCGTCGTCGTCGTCGTCGTCGTGGTTGTCGTCGTCGAGCGCGCCAGCCACAGCACAATTGAGCAACGTTGAAGTGGAGTCGAAGGGAAACCCCTTCCCTTTGATCCCTTCCCGCCGGGGGGGGGGGTCCTGGGGAAGTCCCGGGGCGGGTCAGATACGACTCCCCCCCGGGCGGTTCGGAGCCCCAAGACGCGGCAGAAATGCCCCAAGATGCCCCCAAGACGGTCCTCGAGGGCTCCGAATCGCCGAAGTATCGGTCCAAGTCGGCAAAGTAGCCTCCAGACGGCTCAAAAGGTTCCCAAAACGTCACAAGAGGCCTCTAAGAGGACTTCAAAGAGGGCGGCACCAAGGAACAATAATAATCGATTCCCCTTAGCTTTTTGAAGGATTTCGGCATCCTCGCCTTGTCAGTTTCCCGACGCTCCAAGACAGGCCAAGAGGCCCCCAGGACTGCCCCAAGATGGCCCAAGAGGGGTCCAAGAGAGCCCCAAAACAACCCAAGAGGGCCTCAAGACCGTCCAAGAGGCCTCCAAGACAATCGAAGAGGCTCCCAAGACCGTTGTAAGAGGGAGCCCAGACGGGGGACCCGAACGGGCATTTCGAGCCCTCGGCATGAGAAGCTCCCAGGAGACCCCCAGAGGCCCCTGAGAAGCCCCCCAAGAAGCCCCAAGTGGCCCCCAAGAGACCCCCAGAAAGCCCCAAGAGGCCCCAACGAGGCTCCCAAGCGGCCCCCAAGAGCTTCCCAAGAGGCCCCCAAACTACCCCCAGGAGGCCCTCGAGAGCTTCGTCGTTGTCGTCATGGTTGTCGCCGCCATGCAAGGTCGGCGGCACCGGCCGTCAGGCCTTCGCACTAAAAGGAGCCCAAAAATGTTCAAAAATAGCCAGGGAAAGTCGAAGCATCGTCCCCAGACAATTTTTTGACTACAATAGTTCTGAAGAGTATAGGGAGTCGAACTCTATACACCGACGCTCTTTCTGGCCCTGCTTTGGAATTTGCACTGGAGAGCGGATCCTGGTCTATATGGGACCTTCGTGTAGACATGTTTCGCTGTCTCCCCCGAACATCGGGGGAAAAAGTATACACCACACCGCCCCAGCGTCGTCCTCGATCCTCAAGAAGTCCTGGGATTGAAAAGTAGCCCGCCACTGGTAATGTATATGTTCCAGTTTCCGAGAATCCTCCTCCCGCAGAGGGACACGCCCGACTTCAAGCCCCGCCCCCTCTGGCGCGCCGCCCGGGAGCCGTCCCCGAGCAGGCTGACGCCGGGCCACGCCACGAAGGCCCCGGCGGCCACGAGATGCGCGCTGCTCGTGCGGGCGGCGCCGGAGGCCAGCACGACGCCGCCCGCGACGGAGCCGTCGCACGAGGTCGCCAGGTAGGCCGTGGTGGCCTCTCGGGGGTCCCCAAACCCACACCTCCTCGAGCAGTAACAAAAATCACGGCGGGAAGCTTGTCGCCATTTTCGGCCTCTGGGGGCCCTTACCGGGCCGCGGGACCGCCAAAAAACGACTCAGGATGAAAAACCGGTCCCGGGGAATGGGTCGAGACCCCGGGGCCGACGCCATGGAAAAATCATGACGTCGTGGGTCTGGGAACCGTGTGCTGACAGACCCAGCGGTGACCTCGAAGTCCCCCCAAAAACCTCACCACCTTGTCCGCCACCACACGGCGTGGGGACCCATGGAGGCCCAAGTCGTCCGAGACAGTCTCGGAGAACGACCCAGGCCCCAAACCCGTGCGGCGACCCCGAATCCCTACCGACTCACCACGCGTTGTGGTCATCACCCCTTTGGGGGGGGGCCCCGAGCCTCAGAGCAGGGCACCACGCTGTGCGCAAGCCCAGAGAGGGAGGTGTTCGAGCTGCCGTTGCCAAAGGTGAAGCCCCACCAGGAAGAGGAGCCAGTGGTGGCGTTGGTCGCCGGGGCCGCGTCGGCGGACCAGGATGCGGCACACGTGAAGACGACCGGGGCCACGATCGACGGCAGAGTCCACTGCGACTGCAGGGAAGCCACCGGAGACACGTACACCTGCAGCGACGAGTCACCGTAGGACTGGCTCGAGGCCTGGCCGTCCAAGTCGACGCATATTCGGTAGTAACGGCCTGACTCCAGGTACGTGGTGTCCAGGGTCAGCGGCCATGTGGAGTTCGAGCCGACGTCCTGAAAGCTGCGACTGGCCGTCGCGCGGCCAGGCCGCACTCCACGCACCCCGTCCGTCCACGCCGAGTCGCACGAGGTCCCGAGGTACCCCGTGCTCGCCCCAGAGCACCCGCTGGTGCACGTGAGGGTCAAGTTCTGGAGCGGCCCGCGGAACACCGTGCCCTGCTCCACGTTTAGGTCTCCGATGACGTAGACCTGCAGCCCGGTGCTGCCGAACGCCAGCGGGCCGGCGCCGTCCATGTCGGCGCACAGCACGTAGTGCGAGCCGACCGTGAGGTTGCTCGTGTCGAGCTCCGCCTCCGTCGCCGCGCTCAGGAACGCAGACGCAGTGGACAGGTTGGCGTCCGCGGAGTGATCGCCGTCGCTCTCGGAGCTGTCGCAGGCTGTGGCCAGGTACACCGCCGTGTAGGCGGGGATGCTCGGGTCGCTCACGCAGCCCGCCAGGCACGACAGCGGCACCACCTCGGCGCTGCCCCTGCGCACGGCCGCCACGCCGAGGCCCTGCACGCCCGAGACGTACACCGTGAGCCCCGTGTCGCCGGCGGACAGGCCCGCCGCAGGCGCGGCGGGCAGAGTGCCGTTCGAGTGGTTCGTCGACGGCGCGGGCCGAGCGTCCTGCGCGTCCCCGTCGAGGTCGGTGCAGATCCTGTAGACGAGGCCAGCCACCAACGACCGGGCGTCGACCGGGAAGCTCCAGCTCAGCCCGCTGCCCTCCATCGCGACCGGTTCCGTGGAGGCTCCCAGCGTGAAGACGCGGAGGTTCGTGTCCTCGGAAAGGGCGCCGGCGAGAGCGTCCCTCCGCCCAAGCTGCTGCCCACTGAGACCTATTCGTCCTCTTCCCTCCTCCTCCTCCTCCTGCTGCTCCTCCTCCTCCTCTTCTTTTCCTTCTTCATACTAATAGTGGTATCGTCATCCTCCTCCTCTTCATCATCCTCCTCCTCATCATCATCATCCTCCGCCTCCTCCTCCTCCTTCTCATCCTCATCCTCCCCCTCCTCCTAATTGTTCCTCCTCCTCCGATTCCTCCGCCTCCGCATCCGCCTCCGCATCCGCCTCCGCCTCCGCCTCCGATTCCGCCTCCGCCTCAGCCTCCGCCTCCGCCTCCTCCTCCGCCTCCTCCTCCGCCTCCTCCTCCTCCGCCTCCGCCTCCGCCTCCGCCTCCGTCTCCTCCTCCTCCTCCTCCGCCTCCTCCTCCTCCTCCTCCTCCTCCTCTCCTCCTCCTCCGCCTCCGATTCGCCTCCGCCTCCGCCTCCGCCTCATCCGTTATCCTCCTTCTCCTCCTCCTCCTCCTCCTCCTCCTCCTCCTCCTCCTCCCTCCCCTCTCACCCTCATCCTCATCCCATCCTCCTCCTCCGCCTCCTCCTGCCCCACTCAGCTCCGCCTCCTCCTCCTCCTCCACCCTCCTCCCTCCCCTCCTCCTCTGCTTCCTGCTGCTCCTCCTCCTCCTCCTCCTCCTCCTCCTCCTCCTCCTCCGCCTCCTCTTTCCCTCCTCCTCCTCCTCTCTCCTCCTCCTCCTCCTCTCTTCCTCGTCCTCCGCTCTCCTCGCGCCTCCTCCTCCTCCTCTTTTCTCCTCCCCCTCCTCCTCCTCCTCCTCCTCCTCCTCCTCCTCCTCCTCCTCGTCCTCTCTGTTTCCTCTTCACCGCACCCTGCATCCATCCCATCGCACCCCTGTTCCCTCCTTTTCCATCAAACCTATCTCTCCCTCCTCCTTCCTACTGAGCCCCCCTCCTTCACCTTGCCTCCCTCCCTCCACCTCCCTCACTCATCCCTAGTCGCTCCTCCATCCTTCCCATTCCCCTCCGCTCCCCTCCCTCCTGTTCCTCCCTTACCCCCCCCCCGACCCGCCCTCCTCCATCCATCATCCTCATCTCCCCACACTTGTCCATCCCCTCCCGCCATTATCCCTCTCCCGCCTCATCCTCCGCCTCGAAGCCACCCATCCTACCGTGTCCGTGTCCTGCTCTTCCCCTCACATTCCGCCGACCTTTTCGCTCGTCTCGGTTCCCTCTCCCTGTCCGCTGAAATGAACCTCTTCCCTCCTCTCTCTCATCCTGCCTGCGACCGAGAGTTCTTGCTTGGCGTGTCGCGTCGGCGGCCACGGCAACACGCGGTGCCTTGCAAGCAGATGGCGTGTCGCTCCGCTCCGCGGGGCAGGAGGCTCGGAAAAGCTCGGGATGCTGTTGCTTCGGGACCGTGAAATGGACAACGTGTCGCAACGAGGCGCGGTGGACCAGAAGCGGCGGAGCGACGCGCTATCCCAAGTTTCCCGACCGTACCTCGTCACTCCTCGCACCTGCCGTTCCTGGGCCGTTGTATAGAGCCCGCTGAATCAATACATCGGCCTGGGCCAGCCAGCCCAAGCACTCCCGAGAACCCGCTGGTGGGGACACCTCTGCCATCCCGTTCCCCCCCCACGCTTTCGCGTGACCGAATGGGCCGGAGGGCGAGCTGTGGGTCAGGGTGGTTCTCCGAGGCCGATGACATACGAGCTCGTCTGGCTTCTCGGCGCGCCAAAAAAAACACACAAAAAAAGCAGGAGGAACACAACACCCGCGATCCTGGGAGGCTGGCAGGGCACGACCAGTCAGCTGCCACCCCGCATGCTCCGCGCACCGCTCTGGTGCGCAAGGGGCAGCAAGAGGAACTCCACTGCAACAGACACTGCAGCCAGGACAGTGACTTCACAACTGTTGCGCGCGTGAACCCATCAAAGCAAAGTTACATAGCGAGGAAGCGGACCCTCGCCCACCCACTGCGGTCGCGAGCTGTTTTGCTTAGCATGTCGCCGCAGCGGCCCTGGCGACTCCCCGTGCCCTGCGAGCGGCTTGCGTGTCGCTCCGCTCCGCGGGGCGGGAGGTCAGCAAAAGCTTGACACAATTGACGCCTCGGGACCGGGAAGCGGATAACGTGTCGCGCCGAAGCACGGTGGGCCAGAACCGACAGAGCGACACACGATCCAAAATTTTCCGACCGTACCCCACCACATATCCCATGCAGGCCACCCGCTGTGACCACTTCTCCAGAACATCATCCTCATCATCCTCGTCATCCTCATTATCCCCATCATCCTCATCATCATCCTCATCCTCATCATCATCATCATCATCAACATCATCATCATAATCAGTATCCTTATCATCATCCTCATCCGCTTTATCATCCTCAACCTCATCCTCATCATGAGCATCATCAGCATCATCAGCATCAGCATCAGCATCATCGGCATCATCATCATAATCATCATCAGCATCGTCACCATCAGCATATCCATCATCGGCCTAATCATGTGCATAATCATCGTCCTCGTCATCGTCCAAACCCCCTTCTCCTCATCCGCCTCATCCTCATCATCCTCATCATCATCATCAGTATCCTTATCCTCATCCGCATCCGCATTATTATCCTCACCCCCATCCTCATCATCAGCATCATCAGCATCATCAGCATCAGCATCAGCATCATCGGCATCATCATCATCATAATCATCATCGGCATCATCGTCAGCAACATCATCAGCATCAGCAGCAGCAGCATCATCATCCCCCTCCTCTCTTCTCCCTCCTCCCTCCTCCCTCCCTCCCTCCCTCCCTCCCTCTCTCCCGCCCTCTCTCCCGCCCTCCCTCCCTCCCTCCTCCCTCCCTCCCTCCCTCCCTTCCCTCCCTCCCTCCCTCCTCCTCCTCCTCCTCCTCCTCGCTCCTCCTCCTCCTCCTCCTCCTCCTCCTCCTCCTCCTCCTCCTCCTCCTCCTCCTCCTCCTCCTCCTCCTCCTCCTCCTCTTCCTTGTCCTCCTCCTCCTCCTCCTCCTCCACCCGCTCCTCCTTCTCCTCCTCCACCCGCTCCTCCTTCTCCTCCTCACTCCCTTCCTTCGTCCTTCCCCCGTCCTCCACATTGATGTCTTGTGAGGTGAGCCGGGGAGCAGCGGAGCAGGCGGGCGCGGCGCGCTGGGCTCCTCGAAGGCGCTGCCGGCGCCCGCGCCGTCCACGTCGACGCAGACCTTGTAGTACTGGCCCGGGGTGAGCGCAGAGGCGTGGACGCCTGGGGGGGAGGGGGAGGGGCAGGAGGGGGCAGAAGAGCAGGGACGGGGGGGGGGGGGAGGAGGGAGGAAGGAGGAGGCAGGGAAGGGGGAGGGAGGGAGGGCCGAAGCTGGGAGGGATGGGGGGGGAGGAGGGACAGGAGGAGGGAGAGAACAGGGATGGAGGAATGTGGAAGGGGAAGGCAGAACAGGAGAAGGGTAGGGGAGGGTCGAGCAGTGGCTGGCGCATTAGCCACAGGGGAGGGGCGTCGGACCTGGCACACAGCCGTGTTACCTTGGCCGATGTTCTACGACTCCGTTGCCTTGTCTTCGTCATCATCATCATCATCATCATCATCATCATCATCATCATCATCATCATCATCATCATCATCATCATCATCATCATCATCATCATCACCATCATCATCATCATCCTCCTCCTGCTCCTCCTGCTCCTCCTCCTCCTCCTCCGTCTCCTCCTCATCCTCCTCCTTCCCTCTTCCTCCTCCTCCTCCTCCTCCTCCTCCTCTGCCTCCTCCCCCTCCTCCTCCTCCACATCCTCCTCCTCCTTCTCCTCTGCCTCCTCCTCCTCCTCCTCCAACTCCAACTCCAACTCCTCCTCGTCCTCCTCAGCCTAAGCAGCAGCCCCAACATAATTATCACCGTCCTCCTCCTACTCCTCCTCCTCATCATCACCACCACCATCATAATCACCATCAGTATCATTTCCATTATCTTCACCATCATCCTCATCATAATCAGCATCATCACCAGCCTGAGCATCAGCATCATCAGCATCATCATCGTCATCACCATCATCACCACCTTCAACATCATCACCACCATCATTAGCAGCATCGTCATCATCCTCATCATCTTCATCACTTCATCAGAATGAACATGATCGCCATCGGCATCATCATCAGCATCATCATTAGCATCAGCATCAGCATAATCATCAGCGTCAGCATCATAATCATCACAAGCAGCAGCCTTACCATCATCATCAGCGTCAGCAGTAGCATCATCATAATCAGCAGCAACAGCATCGTCACCATCGTAATCATGCCGAATCGTCATCACCACCACGACCACCACCATCACCATCAGCATTATCATAATCACAATCACCAACACCACCACCATCATCAGCATCATCAGCATCATTGGAATCAGCATCATCAGCATCCACATCGTCATCCTCACTATCATGCTCACCATCCCCATCCCCATCCTTATTATAATTATCATCATCATCCCCCTCGACAGCACCAGCATCATCATCATCAGCAGCAGCATCGTCAGAAGCAGCACCATAAGCATCCGCATTCTCATCAGCATTATCATCAGCAGCAGTGCCAGTATCATCATCATCGTCATCATCATCATCATCATCATCAGCATCATCATCAGCACAATCATCATCATCAGCGCCATCATCGTCGTCAGCATTAACAACATCAGCAGTAGCATCATCATCATCAGCAACAGCATCATCAGCCTCGTCATCGTCATCGACGTCGCCAACGTTACCATCCGCATCATAATCATCATACGCATCATTAACGTCATCATCATCAGCATCACAATCATCAGACTCAGCATCATCGTCATCATCATGAGCATCATCAGCATCATCAGCATCGCCTGCATCATCATCATCATCACCATCATCATCAGCATCATCATCATCTGCATCATCATCAGCATCAGCATCATCAGCATCACCATCATCATCATCATCATCATCATCATCATCATCATCAGCATCAGCATCATCATCATGAGCATCGTCACCGTCATCAGCATATCCATCATCGGCCTAATCATGTGAATCATCCTCGTCATCGTCATCGTCCAACCCCCTTCTCCTCATCCGCCTCTTCATGCTCCTCGTCTTCATTGTCCTACTCCTCCTTGACATCCGCTGTCGCTTCATCATCATCCTCACAAATAGCTGCGTCCCTGCTATTGTCATGTACCTATCTTCCCTATCACTGGCCGTGCTCCCTTGGGACGCTGCTCTTCCCGCACAAATTCATCCGTATCTCAACCCCCCAGCCCACCCCCCGCTCAGCCTTCCTCACCCCTCGAACCCTCCCATACCATTTGGTATTATCATCATTGTCCTCCGCATACTTCATCGTTTATCCTCACCATCATTCCCTCGTTGACTTCCTGACCGTCCGCGGCCGTCCCCTTTCCCCCCAAAGGTGTCCTTGCTTCTCATGGTCATCCCCCTCCGCCGTCCTCTCCTCCTGTGCCTCCCTCTTCTTCTCCCCCTTTCCTGCTCCTTCTCCATCCCTCCGTCCATCCATCCATCGATTCCTACCACCCTCGTCATCTTTCCTTTAACGGCTGCTTGTGCAGTCCTCCTCCTCCTCGTCCTCCTCCCCTTCTCAACCCCCCCTTACTGATCATAACCCTGCGCCCAACGTCAACCCAAATTGGCAGACCCGCCTACTTGGCTGGGGGCGGCCACAGCGAAAGACAGTCCTCCGCAACTCCGACCCAGGCAACTCACCTCTACAAGCCATCCTGGATCGCGGCAGTGGTTGTTGCGCCAGCTTGCCGAGCAATGGTGGGCGCTTGCTGCGACAGCTTCCCGAGCAACGGTAATGAGGCGGAGAGAGCGCGGGAGGAGGGAAGCGGAGTCGAAAGACGAGGGGAGCGACAGCGGCGAATACGTAGCCGCGGGGTGTGCGACACAGGAGACCTGGCCGTAAGGCGCCTGTACAAATGCGCGGGGGAGGGGAGGAAGCGGACAAGAAGGGGAGGGTGGAAGGACCAGGCAGCTCGCACGACGGAGTACCAGCTAAATACTGGAAAAAGGAAGAGTTAAGGCGGAAACAACAATGCCAACAACAACAATAACAAACAAACAAGCATTTTAAGACTGCTCGCTCTTATCCCCTCGCGTGCCGTTCAACACGTATACACCAAACCCTCGAAATTCGCCCTCTTCGTCTTCGATCGTACCCACTTGGGGGTATATCTTTCTTACCTGCAGCATGTATTTCGGGCAGCCCCTAAGGCAGAAGAAGAGAGGACGGACAGCAGGAAGGCACATGGGGCAGGCGGGTGGCTGAACCGTGCGTCCTGCATCAATCGCGAGGAGGTCTCGAGCGATAGCGCGATTCTGAAGTAAATCGTGAGGAAACACACAGTGAGAGCGTGAGTCCTGAATGTCGAGGGCGCGGCGACTGAACAGATTGGGAGGAGGTCACACGCAAAAGCGCGATTCCCGGGAGGGTCGGGTCAGAGATGCCGGACCGGGCAATTTTTCGACACCCCTCACGAGGATCGTGGCCTCCGAGGGGGGAGCCGCAATCGACTACCCCCCCTCCCGCCCCAAGAAGCCCCCAAGAGCCCCCAAGAGGCCCTGGGGGCTCCAAAGACGCCGCCAAGGAGCCCCCAGAGACTCCCAAGAGGTCCCCAAGAGGTCCCCAAGAGGCCCTAAAGAGGGCTCCAGGGCTGGCGGAATGAGCGAAGCCATTAAATAATAGCAGCAACAACAACAACAACACCACCACCACCACCAACAACAACAACAACAACAACATCAATAACAATAACAATAACAATAACAATAACAACCATAACAGCAACAACAACACCAATAGCAACAACAAGAACACTAGCAGCAACAACCACAACAATGGAAAACAAAAAACAGCCTCATAATCTTCAACCGCAGCAACAGCAGCAAGCAGTTTAAGATTGATCGTTCTTACTTGCACGCGTGCCATCCGAAACGTATATCCCAAGCCCTCGATACCCGCCCTCTTCGTCTGCGATCGTACCCCCTATGGGGGCATATCTTCCTTACATGCCGCGTGTGATTAGTGCAATACCCAAAACAAGAAAAGAGAGGACGGATGGAAGGGGGGGGAAGGATGGAGCACGGGATTAGCAGGAGGGGGGCTCGGAATAGAAAACACCTGGCAGAACCAGACGGGCTGACCAGGCGAGAACACCCTAACGGGCGGGTCGGGAAGGCGGGCCCAAGGGGCCAGGTCGAGCAGGCGGGTCGCTGAAGCGTGAGAACTGCATGAATTGCGAGGAAGTCTCGAGCGATAGTGCGATTCCCAGTGAATCGCGGGAAAATCTAAAGCGAGAGCGTGATTTCTGAGCGTCGACAGGGCAGCGATTGAATAAGTTGCGAGGGAGTCCCACGCGAGAGTACGATTCCTGCATTAATTGTATGGAAGTCCCGCGCGAGAGCACGATTTCTCAACACATTGCGAAGTATCCGGCGGGAGCCGTTGTTGTTGTAACTCGGGGGCCAGGGGCCAGCTTGACCCTCAAGACTTTGCCGGAAAAAAAACCGGGTACGATCTCCGGGAGGGGCACTTCGATCGGAAAAATACCATTTGCGCTGCGGGGGGGTCAACAAATATTAAACTGCAGAAGCGAAAGCTCAACATCAACAGCAGCAGCAGCAGTAACAGCAACAACAACAACAACAATGGAAAGCATACAGGCACACCTAACCCTTTGAAAGGGGAGCCTAAGTTTGGAGGGCCAAGAACATTAGGGACAGAGGGTCTTTCAGCTGATATATCAGAGCAAACCGTTCGGAAGTATTTTCCCTAATGCGAAGACGGGGATCTAAGTGAGGCCACGCCTCCATCGTGTTATTTGGGTTGGAGGTTCTGTGGGGCAGCAGAAAACAAGCACAACAAAAACGAGAGGGTGACCACGGCTCCGAAAGACGATCACATGCCCCCTCCCGTGCGCCTAACACGAAGTCCTCCCCAGCCAGGCCCCCGCCGAGCACACCAGCAGGAGTGTGCTCGCCGTCGGAGGGGAAGCTGATGTTGCCTGGGCTGGTGCGGCAAGCAGCTCGAGCGCCCCCAGCCCGCCGCTCCCCTTCTCGTCGACCGCACGTCCCGTCAACACACCTCGGTTCCAGAGCGCACTCACGCGGCCCGCTCCAAAGCCCTGCATTCAGCAATCGGCGGCGGGCGAGGGCGGGAAGGGAGAAGGAGAAGGCCGTCTGAGAAGGCGGCGGCACTTCTAAGAAGCCCTCGCGCCCTCTTAAGAAATGTCCTGTGCCGCCTTCGTGGGAGGCTTTGGAAACTTCTCGGGAGGCTGGGGGACTTACGAGCCTTCTGCGAAGGCCGCCCCGTCTCACTTCCCCCCCCCCCCGGGCGCGCCGCCTGAAATGCCCCTGGCCCGAGGTTCCCCCAGCTTCGGGCTCCACTCTGGAGCCCCTGGGGCCCGTGAGGGGTGCTCTGGAGGCCGTGGCGGCCTCCTTGGAAGTCCTGGGGCCACCTCGGGGGGAGGAGGAGGAGGAGGAGGAGGAGGAGGAGGAGGAGGAGAGGAGGAGGAGGAGGAGGAGGAGGAGGAGGAGGGAGGAGGAGGAGGAGGAGGAGGAGGAGGAGGAGGAGAAGGAGGAGGAGGAGGAGGAGAAGGAGGAGGAGGAGGAGGAGGAGCTCGCCGCCGAAGCAGCACGCCTCCACCCCCTGCAAGGCGGGGGAGGGGGGGGCACTCACGACGCCCGCCGGCGAGCCCCGGCCTCCCGCCGGCGTCCGCAGGCGGAGGGCCTCGCGCTCTGCTTCCGCCGCCTTCCGCCGGCATGGCCTCCGTCGGGCAAGTCGTCGCCATCGACGTCGCCGTCGTCGTCGTCGTCGTCGTCGTCGCCGTCGCCGTCGCCGTCGTCGTCGTCGTCGTCGTCGTCGTCGTCGCCGTCGTCGCCGTCGTCGTCGTCTCGTCGTCGTCGTCGTCGCCGTCGCCGTCGTCGTCGTCGTCGTCGAGGACAACCCCTCGATCCCTTCAAGGCGAGGGCCTCCCCGCGGCGCCCCGCACCAGACTTCCAACGCTGTGGAGCTGCTCTCCGCAGCGCCGGCCCCCGAGCTGTGGACCTCGGCCCACCCCTGGTGGCCAGTCTGGAGAGCGTCGGGGCTGGTGCTCGACGGCACCGGGGCCCGGCTTCTGCCCCCACGCGTCGTCATGTGTGCTGGTCCGCGGCGCTGGAAGTACGGTCAGGTCGTGGCATGTCCTCGTCCAGGCGGATTTCGAGGGAAGAGTGAAGCACGTGCATAAAACCACAAACAAACTGCCAAAAACATCGTCAACTGCCACAAACATCGTCCCCAGACGAGTTTCTTGCTATGTTTGGCTGCTCCTCCTGTAGAGGGACAGGCCCGACTTCACGCTGGAAGTACGGGTGCGTGCTGGGCAGCGGAGTGACGCGCGCCCGGCCCAGATCGAAGCGGTCCTGTGCCCAACGCCTCTTGGAGGCAGCTCGTCGAAGGTGCCCCACGGCTTCCGAGGGAGCTTGGCCCAATGCAGCAGCAGCAGCAGCAGCAGCAGCAGCAGCAGCAGCCATAGGCTCCTCGTAAATTTCCTGGCTCCCCGAAGAGGTTTCTCGCCAGTTTGCTCTCCCTCCTCCCGATCCTCCTCGCCATCCTTCTCCTCTGCGGTGCGTATTCTCCCATATCCCCTTCCTCTCTGAGCTCCTTCCAGGCCTCCTTCTCCACCCTCGTCCTCGCCCTGCTCGGCCGCGGCATCTCCATCATCCTCACACTCATCTCCTCCGTCTCGTCACCCTCACCCACCCAGACTTCCGACGTCGTGATTTGTTTTCGCGACGTCGCCCCCCAGAGGTCTGGACCCCGGGAGAGTCGTTTTCGGACGGTCCCCGGGCCCGGCGAGGGCCCCGGGAGGCCGAAAACTATGAAAAACCTCCGTCGTGCACCACCCTCTCCTCGGCACGTCCTCGGCACGTCCTCGGCACCACCCTCTCGCCGCCCTGGTTTCTCCCCCTGCTCGGCCGCGCGCGCTCCGCGCCAGGCGCATGAGCGGTGGTGGTGCTGCCGGCCACTCCCACCCACCCCGACGCCCGGGACGGGGCCGCGGGCCCGGCGAAGGCCCCGCGAGGCGGACAGCTGCAACAAAAAAAACAACCTCCGTCGGGAGTTTGTCCATGCGTTGGATGCCTGGGAGCGCGAAGAGCGGGTCGGACGGGCGGGGCGGACATCGGCGGAGGCAGGAAGTGATGGGCCTGCTTTCCACCACCACCACCACCACCTCCTCCAGAAGTTGGACCGACTCCCCCTCGTCTTCTTCTTCCTCCTCCTCCTCCTCCTCCTCCTCCTCCTCCTCCTCCTCCTCCTCATTCTCCACCTCCTTGCCCCCCTCCAGCTCATGGTGGTGGTGGTGGAAAACAAGCCCAGCAAGAAGGGTTCGAACAGCCACTGGGGGGGGGGGGGGGCATCGCGAGCGTGCGACGGGGAGAGCCTCGCGTCAAGACATATTGTGGGGCGGTCGGAGAGGCCCTCCTTGGGCTGAACACGTGCAGCTTTCGCGGGAGAGGGAAAAAACAGCACACGGGCACCACGAAGCGCCGATTCCCCAGAAAATATATGGGAACATCTGGGAAAGTGGGGGCGAAGACGAGCACCCCGAAGATCTTGGAAAAGGCTTTTTGGGAACCCTGGGATTTGTAATGCGTATCCAGTTCTTTGTGTGTGTGCCCCTGGGCGTCTTCGGTGGTGCGGCGGTGGACAAGCCTCCCTGTAGCAAACCACCTTTTTTAGTGAAAACGGCCTACGACCGGACCCTCAAAAGTCACGGCCGCGAAGCCCTCTCGCGAGCCGAAAACGGCCAATTCGCTCATCGACGTGTCAGGGTAGGAGGTCTATCAACCTCCGAGTAGTGCCTTTCAATTCGTGGACCCTGGAAACGACAGGGCCGTTTTTTTACCGGTTCCGTTTTGCCGCTTTTTTGCCGGTTCCGACGCCGTTTTTTTACTGGTTCCGTCGCCGTTCTTTTACAGGTTCCCCGCTCCGGTTCCAATCCTGGAGCCCTTCTTGTTGCCGTCTCCGGTCGCCGTTGCCTTGCCGCTTCCATTTTCAAGGGGCACTTCTTCGGAAACGGTGAAAAACGGCCCTGCCGTTTCCGGGGCCCACTAAGCTTATGTCGGGCGTGTCCCCCTACAGGGGGATTTTCGACAAAAAAAGGATACCCCAAAAATACACCAAAAAGGTAACAACAAATACTCACAAAAAATTGTCCCCTGACTATGTTTGATTTTTTGTTCTATTATTTTTGGGGTATCTTCTATTTTTCGTCGAAAATCCCCCTGTAGGGGGGCAGGCCCGACTTAACACTAAGCCCCTGGGAGCCTTCGGTGGTGCCTTTCCCCCCCCGCGTGCACGCCCTATGGGCCGTTACGCCCCTGCCGCGGCCGGCGGGCCAGGCCATGGGCCATGCGGGCGCCCGCGGCGCACGCGCGCCGCGGGCCTCGCCCCGCAGCGGCGAGGCCGCCTCCGGCTGGCATGTAGCAGACGTCGCAGACCCCCCCCCCCTTTCGGGGGCGGCCGAGAGGGGGGCGTCCATAGGGGACCAGACAATGACATAGACATAGAAACTCTGAGGTCCGCGCGGATTTCTCGCATCGGCGCTGGGGCCCCCCGGCGGCGCCTCCGGCGCCGCCCCTGGCGCGCTCCGCGCGCCAGGGAGGGGGGTCCAGCGCGGATCCAAGAAATCCGCGCGGACCTCAGAGTTGTTATATCTACGTCACTTTTCGTGCCCCTAGTCCAAGATGGGGGGGGGGGGGGGGGCGCGCAAGAATAATGGCCGGCGGCATGTGCGCGGCCCAGGGGTGGGAGGGCCAGGGACGTCATCAAACAAGAAGAGGCGCCCCATGAGATCTGGGGAACAGCATGGCCCACGCCATGATATCCAACTCCCCCTTAGCCATCGCCCCCCTCTTGGCCGCCCCCGACCACCCCCTTGCCAAATGCCCCCCGCTCGTCCACCGGGTATACATATATTGAAATCATCCGCAAAATGCATTGGTCCCCATTCATGAGGGAAGGTCTGAAATGGAGCATTCAGAATTCGGTCCGTGTGGTTACGAGCTCGGAGGCGCGTCTCACATGTCCAGAACCCAGGCGAAGAACTGCTCCTTGAAGGCGAAGATGAAGGCAGCCGTCAGCATCGAGTTGGCCAGCTTCCATCTCAGACCAGCGTAAATCGCAACAACAATTGACACGACGTCCTTATTCATTCGAGGTGGGAAGAAAGGCAAGCGACTCTGCCAGCGTAACCGGCCATACTGCATAGGATATGTAATCAGAGTGGATGCGAGGGTGGCGAGGGCCCCTAAAATAGGAGCAATACTAATGACACTGGAATGCATATCTACGTCACTCTCGAAGTGGAAAGCCCAAACCAGCGAGTCGACGAGCCTTTTGTAGATTTGGGATTGCAGGAGAGGGTACATTATCATGATCAAATTCGGCACCACACCCGTGAAAAAGCCCAGAACACCGTCTTCTAACCAAACCTGGTACCCATGGTCAATCCACGATCTCGGTGTTGGTGAAGTGTCGACCTGCATCCGCACAATCAAGAGCCAAAATGGGGTCGTCACGATAACGTTTACCACGCTTGCACAGACTGTCCCACCAATCACGTGCCCGGAGACGAAGTATGCGGGCCCCTTCCGGAGGCAAAGAGCAGCGATCTGGGGGTTGGACTGCCGTCTTGCTGTCTCTACCGTCTTCCTCCCCTCGTCCTGTCTCAGCTATCTTGTCTGTCGAACCCTGTCTCCCAAGAAGTTCAAACAGATGATAACACCGCCGCGACCCCGATTAGTGGAGAGCTTCCTATGACATTGAAGCATTGACTGTCAGCGCTTGACCTTGCTTGGCACGTTGCTTGGCATATTGCGTGGCATATTGCTTGGCATATTGCGTGGCGTTGCGTGACATTGCGTGAAATTGCTTGGCACTGCGCATTGCTCGACATTGTTTGGCATTGCTTGGCATTGCGTGGCATTGCCTGGCTTTGGTTGGCGTCGCGTCGCATTGGTTGGCATTGCTTGGCATTGTGTGGCGAGGCAGCGCGGAAGCAGAACAAAGAAACCAAGAAACCAAGACCAAGGACACAAGGACCCAAGCCCAAATAATGAAGAAACCAAGACCAATCAACGAAGGAATCACGACCAAGAAACCCAGGGAAGGCAGCAAGGAACCAAGACCAGGGGAACCACGGAACCAAGACCAGGGAACCCGAGGAACGCTGAGCGGCATAGGCCGAGCCTGAGCCCCTTCAACATCAAATAAGAATATGTTCGACAGAGCCGAGTTGGAGACATGTACGTAAAACCTATGATCCCTAAATGGCTTCCACGAATGCCAGGGGGGTACCCCGGCTAGTTACTAATTTGGCCACGCGTTGGCCGAACGAATGGCCAGGCGGCGGTCTCCCTCCGCAGGAGCCTGAGATAAAAAGTAAACCAGAATGTAAATGTCGAAAATCCCACGGCAAACGTAGACATCACACGGCCAGGCTGGTCGTGGAAGAGGACGCTCCGAAAGGTGGCAAGCAGCTTGGAGCGCATTCCGGCTTCGTGATGCGCGGCACCGCTCCCAGCCACCTCCCTCGTCTGCCTCACCTGTATCGGATACAGCACCCAGTGCGCAACCATTGTGGGCACGGACGTCCCGAGTCCCTCGTAGAAGCTCACCTGGGAGCTGCTGGGCTCGGGCTCCCCCCCCACGAGAGGCGCGCAGGGCATGTGCAGCGAGGCGCGGACGGCCTGGTGGTCCGAGACGCCCGTGCCGATGGCATCGATGATGCTCACGGCCGATGGCCGGCGGGCGCTCGCAATGCTGGCGGGGAGGTAGATCCAATCGACCACCCCGCCGAAGACGCTCGTCGCGTTGACGCGCGGCGCACCCCTGACAAACTCCCCGAAACTGTCCGCCGCGGGGGCGGCCGGGTAGTACGCCGCCCGGAAGCCGCGGTCGTGCAGAAAGCGGTGCCCGTTCGACATGTACTCCAGGAAGTCGGCGTCGCGGCCTTCGGCCCGCGCGCGGGCGAACACGGGGTGGCTCTCGAGGGTGTCCCGGGCCACCTGGGGCGAGAGCTGGGCGTTGAAGTCCCCTCCGAGGATCAGCGGCGCCTGCCACGCAGCGGCAGCCTCCGGCTCCGCGGGGCCCGCCGCGCCTGGGACCTGCATGCCGCTCGCCGCGTCCACGACCTCGGATGAGGCTGAGAATGCTGGGGGTGCTTTGGCTCCGTGCTCGAGCTCGACGTGTGTTTTGTTCCGCTGGGAGGTATGTTGCCGTTCCGCTGGGGGGCTCTCGTTCGCGCCGTCTCTGGTGCGGCTCCGGCCTGTGCTGCCGGTGCCTCTCGGTTTTTGGGGGCTGCCGTGTGTTGCTCCGCTCGGGGCAGCCCAATACCCACAAGAAAACGACAAAACGAGAACGCCCCCAGCGCGTTTGACCTCAGCTGCCCCGACACGCAACACGCAACACGCAGCGTATGGATACGGAGCTCAACACGCAGGCTGAAACGTGGGCTTGAAGTGAAGCGACACGCTCGCCAACACGTGGGCCAACACGTGGAGCCAACACGCAACGCATCGACACGGACGCCCTGCACACGGGACGTGCTGCGTGTCAAAGCGGGCGCATCGGGGCAGCTGAGCTTCTGACGCCAGGCTGGGCCCGCGACCGTGCGCAGCTGCGCCGCCCGCACCGAGGTGATGCTCTCCCACGCCTGGTCGTCGAAGCGGCCGCCCGACAGGTGCACCGAGCACGCGCAGAAGGAGAAGCCCGAGCGCCGGGGCGCCTGCCCCCCGAGGCCCCGCACCAGCGCGCACGCGGCGGAGCGAGGCACAGGGGCGCCCTGGCCGATGCCGACGCTCGGGGGGCGCCAGCCGACCCCCTCGCCTATGCGCCACGAGGAAACAGACACAGACACAGACGCCCTCCTCCTCCTCCTCCTCCTCCTCCTCCTCCTCCTCTTTCTCCTCCTCCTCCTCCTCCTCCTCCCTCTGCCTCCTCCTCGTCCTCCTCCTCCTCCTCCTCCTCCTCCTCCTCCTCCTCCTCCTCGACGAACTCTGCATATACCTGCAGGGAGGGCGGCGGCGATAAAGCCGCTGGCTCTCCAAAGAGGCCTCCCAGATGGGGTCCGAGCAGATGGGGTCGGAGGGTCGCGCCGCATCGGCGATGCATCGGCGACGTCGGCTATGCCTTGGCACCGTTGGCATGGAGCAATTCGAGCTCCACATCGAGCCGCATCGGTAATGCACCAGCGATGCGGCGCGATCCTCCGACCCCGTCTGCTCGGACCCCACCTGGGAGGCCTAGCTCTCAGTAATGACTTATACCCCGCCACCCTCCCCTTAGGCCCAGGAGCAATCCATTGACGGATCACCTGCCCTGGCCTGGCCGGCCCTGGGCCCAGCAGCGGTGTGGAGCCCTCCCTGGGCCCGGTCGAGCCGGGCGGCCGGGCGCACCCGCCCTGGGCCCAGCTGGCGGATCACCGGCCCTGGCCTGGCCGGCCCTGGGCCCAGCAGCGGTGTGGAGCCCTCCCTGGGCCCGGTCGAGCCGGGCGGCCGGGCGCACCCGCCCTGGGCCCAGTAGGGGGCCCGGCCGAGATCCGTGAGGTGGCTTGTTGGAGGCCTGGAACTTGGCACCAACACCAGCACAGGGGGGTGCCTCCACATGGGGAAGATGATCCTAAATTTCGGTGTTGGAGGTAATATGTCGGTCACCTTGATAGCCAGAATCTGACCACCATCACCGAGACCGGGATCGTCTTCCCTCGGTGGAGGCACATCGCCGATCATGGTGTTAGTGTCAACCTCCAGGCCTGCGAGCCTGGGGGGACAAGGAGGTACCGATATACCGCTTGTATGGAGGGTCAACTGCAGTAGGGACAGGGGGTCTGCATTGCAGATGTCTCAGACGAAACCACCCACACGTTTGGGGATCACCCTGAAAACCGATGGCCTACCAAAGTTTTGGCCACGAAGCCGTTGTGTTCGTAGCGCTGGGGGATCGCATCATGCTTGATGATCCCCCAGGGTGCGTTCTGACCATGAGGAGACTTCGACCGCGGCGACGAGGGCTCTCCAGGACTTGCTCTCCTCCTCGAGCGATCGGCCGACGCCCCCCGAGATGGCGAACGACCCCAGCACGTCGAGGCCCTCCCGCACCAGCACGGCGTTGGCCAGGCGCACGTCCTTCCACCCCGGCTCCCCGGTGTCGGCCACGACCGCCAGCCGGTAGCCCCGCGGCACGACCGCGGAGCGGGTCAGGGCGTGCTCCTGCAGCAGCACGACGTCCGCGGCAGCGCGCAGGATCAGCTCGCGCACGGCCGCGACGGCTCGCAGGAGGGCCGCGCCGAGCCGAGGGCGGCCCCCCCTCTGGCGTGCTCCCTCTCTGTGCTGGCCTCCTGGAGAGAGCGGTGCTCTGCTCTTCGCGGTGGCGATCGTGACTGGCCCCGGCCGCCCCCGGGCCCCGGCCGACCCCCCCCTGCCCAGCCAGGGCACGCCACGGCTCGTCCGAAGCATGCCCAGACGGCACCCGCGCGAACCGTCCTCCTCCCCGCCCCCCCCCCGGAGCCCCCGTGATCGCCCAGGGGGATATAAAAAGACGCTCTCCCCGCTCCCCCCCCCCCCCCCGAAGCGCCCGTGATCGCCCAGGGGGATATAAAAAAGTCGCTCTCCCCGCCCCCCCAACCCCCGGGAGCGCCCGTGGTCGCCTAGGGGGGATGTAAAAAAAGTCGCTCTCCCCGCTCCCCCCCCTCCAAACCCTGGGAGAGCCCGTGACCGCCCAGGGGGGTGTAAAGAGGCGCTCTCCCCGCCCCTCCCCGGAGCGCCCGTGATCGCACAGGGGGGTGTAAAAAGACGCCCTCCCCGCTCCCCCCCCCCCCCCCTGGAGCGCCAGAGCGCCCGTGATCGCCCAGGGGGATGTAAAAAGGCGCTCTCCTGGAGGCGCGCCTCGTCGCCACGGAGCCGGCCGCGTGCCTCGGGAGACGGGTCCGGATGGGCCCGGGGAGGGGTCTGGGGACCGACTCTGGAGCGCGTGTGGGGGCGAGGCTCGGCGGCGAGCCAGGGGGGAAGTGAGAAGGGGAAGGCCTTCTCAGAAAGCGGCGGGACTTCTCAGAAGCCCTTGCGCCTTCTGAGAAGCTTCCTGCGTCTTAGGGGAAGGCTTGGAAAACTTCTGAGAAGGCCCAGGGGGTTCCGAGCCTTCTGAGCAGACCTTCTCCTTCTCGCTGCCATCCCTCGCTCGCCGCCGAGAGAAAGCCGCCGTTGTCTCAACTGGCCCTCCTACGACTGGCGTTGCCCCACTGCCTGGCGCTCTGGTTCCCGCACGCATCCGGCGTGGCGGGAGAGGGCCCGTGCCGCATCACAAACGCGGCCTCGAGGACGTCTGGGTACTGGCGCGCGAAGTCGTCGATACTGCCGCCGCCCGAGGTCCCCTGCCACCTCTTCAGGCGCCGCAGGCAGGGCTCGAAAAACTCCTCCACGTTCAGCGACATGACGGACAAGTCCGCCCAGCAGTCCTCGTGAGCCTCCCCAGAGCCCTCGGCTGGAGGCTCCGTACCAGCTCCCTCTGGCCGCCCCAAGAAAAAGCCCGACCCGCCTCTCGACAAAAATTCGTCGCCCCAGTACAAGTAGAAGCAACAGGTGTAAACCATGGTGAGCCCCACCAGCCATGCCCACAGTGGCGCCTGCGGGCCCCGCATCCCGAGTCAGAAGGCCTCCGCTCGCACGCCCAAGCGGGCCCCCCTGCACGAATCCGCCCCGCCCCTCCCGGCATGGGACCCGCGCGGCCCGCAGAAGCACGGAGAGACTGAAACACGAAGAGTCGGTCGCGAACGCTCGAGCCAGCCCTACGGCCCCGTGGTTCTGCAGTGCACGGGCCGCCTGTGGTGTTTTTGTGGGCGGTCCTCGGCCGTCTTGGGGCCGTCTTGGAGCCTGCCCCCCAGCGCCCTTTGTGCCCTGCCCGCCAGCGCGAAGAGGGGAGGGGAGGGGAGGGGAGGGTCCTCCACCTCGGCGGGGGCGCCGGAGCGCCGAAGCTCAGATGTCGCAGCACATGGTTACTTTACGATCTCGACTGTGTACTGTTGCCCCCACGGATACAGTCTCCTTCCCATGAGTTCGAACATGCAGCCCGCGAGTTCGGGCAAAACCGAGGAGGACCGCACGCCGCCGAGGAGGATCGCACGCCGCCGAGGAGGATCGCACGCCGCCGCGGAGGGTCGCACGCCGCCGAGGAGGATCGCACGCCGCCGAGGAGGAGCGCACGTCGCCGAGGAGGAGCGCACGCCGCCGAGGGACGGAGCGCACGCCGCCGGGGAGGATCGCACGCCGCCGAGGGACGGAGCGCACGCCGCCGAGGAGGAGCGCACGCCGCCGAGGGACGGAGCGCACGCCGCCGAGGGCCGCAGAGCCCGCAAGTGCGCAAAGGGGGCCCGTCGGAGTGGGCCTCCCTGCGGGGCCAGCGGCGGGGCCCCCTTGGGGGCGAACAGCCCTTCGTACAGGGGGCGCCGTCGCTGGCCCCGCAGGGAGGCCCCCTCCGACGGGCCCCCGTGGCCTCCCAGACGTCTGGGAAGCCACGAGGCCCAGACCCCCTCGAGCAGTGAAAAAATCACGACGGGAGGTTTTTCGCCATTTTCGGCTTCTGGAGGCCCTTACCGGGCGTCGGGACTGTCAAGAAACGACTCATGATGAAGAACCGGTCCCCGGGAATAGGTCGAAACCTCTGAGGGTCGACGTCATGAAAAAATCATGACGTCGGGGGTCGTGGGGAACCGTCGGAGTGGACCCGTCGGAGTTGAGCTCCTCGTGGCTTCCCAGGCGTCTGGGAAGGCACGAGGAGAAGCACAGGCGGGGGCCCAGGGGCACACCGACGGGCAGACACAAGGCCCAGGAAGCCCACAGAATGTCCCATGTGTTCTGGAGTTTCGTCTGCCCCCCGCCCACGCCTCCCATAGCTTCCCAAGTTGGATCGACCATGATTTGTGTCTGTATTTGTCCCTCCTGAAAGCAGCTGGTGGGGCGAGAAGGGCAAGAACGGTCAGCATCGAATCAGGGAACCAGACCGAACATGCGACCGTGCAGCGAAACGGGCCGCGACGGCGAGGAGTCGGAGTCCAATCGGATCGGCCGCATCAGGATTCGGTGGCGAGCGAGGGGGGAAAGTGAAAAGGGGAAGGCCTTCTCAGAAGGCGGCGGGACTTCTCAGAAACCCTCGCGCCTTGTGAAAAGTTTTCTGCGTCGCCAGGGAAGGCTCGGGAAACGTCCCAAAAGGCCAAGGGACTTCCGAGCCTTCGGAAAAGGGTCGCAGGGGCGGCTGCCGGGGGTCGCGGGTGAGCACGACGACAACAACGCAACAGCAATCCAGGCGACAGAACCCCACTTCAGCCACGTGCCCAAGGGCATTCACAGAGAAAAACGGCCCCTAACCCTTTGAGGGGAAACCGAAGTTAGGAGGGCGAAAAACATTAGGGATAGGGAGTCTTTTGGTGCAGATGTATCAGGCCAGACCGCCCAAAAGTAATATCCCCAGTGCTGAGACGGAGACCTGAGTGAGGCCTCGTCTTCATCGTCTAGTCACTAGAATTACGGTTTTATTTTTGGTCTCGATGACAGGGACCGTGAATGACCGCTCGGCCCCCTCACTCTCACCTGGACGCCCGAAACGGAAATACAGGAAACATGGGCACGATACCGAGCAGCAGTGGTAGTCCAAAGCCGAAGGCGGGGCCGGTGTGGGGCAGCCGGCCGTTTGCCCCCGACGGACAGCAGCCACGGAGGCGCCGACCGCGAGGTCCTGCTCAAAATGCAGAGGAGTTGGTGCCGGTCTCCTCTCCCGTTCTTGTCGCACCCGGTTCGATCGCACCGACCTGGAATCGGGGGCGTCCTAGAGGGGGGCGTGCAGGGGGCGGGTTCGCAAATCATGGCGCGAGGCACGTGCGCGGACGAGGGGGCATCAGGGGAAGCATCGAGAGCAGAAGGGGAATAACAAGATCTGGGGATACACACCATTGCCCCCGCCCCGATGTCCCCCCCCCTCCCCCTGGTCACCACCCTCCGCGCGGCAGCTCCCGAGGAGTTGTTGAAGCGGCGAGGCCAGCACACGGCACGAAGGCACAACGGGGCTGGGGGCTGCAGGCTGCGGGGGGGGCGCGCGGGGCGCTTGCGCGGGCGTGGTGCGCGGGAGATGGGCGGCGTCGGTTCGCGCGGGATGCGCGCCCCCAGGGCCGCCTGGCGCGCCGAGCGCGCGCCTGGACCCTTGTACTCCGACAGCCGAGCATGCGATCAAGAAACATATAGCTTAAAAACCTTTTCCTCCTCCTCCTCCTCCTCCTCCTCCTCCTCCTCCTCCTCCTCCTCCTTTTCGTCCTCCTCCTTTGGGCTGGCCTCCTCGAGGCTTCTGAATACAAGCCTGGGCCAAACTGTGAGTTCACGCTGGAGGGCCGAGCGTGCACAGGAAACTGGGCCAACTTGCCAGCAGGCTGGTCGAGAGACGCCGGCTCAGCTTTTCGGGAGGAGGTCTCTGTATCCGAGGCTCGACTGCGGGTCAACTGACCTGCGGCAGAGAGAAGCGATTGGTGGACACTCCCCCGCCCCCCCAGACTCAGAGCTGCCACGCGCGGGGAAGACCTGGCCAAAGTGCAGCCATCGGTCCACCCACCGCCGACATGTTGATCATGGGGGGGGCATTGCGTTGACAGATGAATGCAGCATGCGTGTTCGCTGAATCTTTTCCGAAGCCTGCCGCGCGCCGCGAACCCCGCGGTGCCCGGCACGCGCGGCTGCCTGCGCGCCCTCGCGAGGCCGCCTCGCGTAACGCGGGCAGCCGCCACGCCCAGGCCAACGCGCCTCCGGGCGCTGCCTCTGCGGCCGGGGCCCCTGCGGAGTTTCGCGCGCCGCGGCGCGGCGGCCCCAGCGACGCCGCGCTGGCAAGCGGACGGCGCGTCGCTCCGCTCCGCGGGGCGAGAGAGGCTCGGGAGCAGAAGGCGAAAAACAACAATAGACATAACCATTTGTTACGCTCCGCGCGAAGTTCTTGGCCCCCCTGGCGGCGCCCCCCTGGCGGCGCCTCTGGCGCCGCCCCTGGCGCACGCGCTCCGCGCGCCCGGGGGGGGGCCCAGCGCGGATCCACGAAATCCGCGCGCAGCGCCAAAAAGTTTACGTTCAGAGCGCTCGTGTCTTCTTCGATGGAAGGCTCGGGGCGCTGGCCGCCGCCGACCAGGCGTCGCGGATAGCGAGTCGCGCCGGAGCGCGGCAGGCCAGAACCGGAGGGGCGACGCGCTGGCCAAAGTCCGGGACCGCGGGCGAATGCTCCGCCCGTCGCGCTGCGCGCTTCCCTCGGCCCACCCCTGCGGCTGGGCTTCGCCCGGGCGTCGCCAGAAGTACACTGCCAAAACTCGGAGTGAGGATGGGCAAGGAGGATGCGAGCCCCTTGGGCGCCCCTCCTAGGTTTTTTTTTCAGAGCACGGCGGGGCGCAGCCAAGGAGGGGCCAAAGAGGCACGGGTGCAAAGGCACCCTTGGGAAGGCTACCCATCAGAAACATCGGCTTCGACCGCGCCGCCAGTCTTGCTGCGTCTCACGCTCGGCAGCTCGAGCGCGAAGCGCCCTCGGGACCACGCGCAAACGCGACGCTGGGCAGCGACCTTTGGCGCGCGGGGTTTCTTTTTCAAATAACATATAAAAAACGAATCACGGCGCAAACATAAACGCGCCGAGGTCCGCGAGGATTTTCTTGGATCCGCGCTGGACCCCCTGCCCGGCGCGCGGAGCGCGCCAGGGACGGCGCCAGAGGCGCCGCCAGAGGGCCACGGCGCCCCTCCGCGAAATCCACGCGCTGTTCGCAAACAAAAAAAAAAACGCCGCGATTCCCTCGCAACGCGAGGGGGTCTGGGTCCCCTTGCGCTCACGATCGGCTTCGACTCTGCTCGGAGCGGGCGGCGCCCGCTCCCGCGCCCCGAGAGCGGCCGCTGCCACGCGCAGGGCCACCGCCGAGGCGCCACCCCTCGGCGAGGCCCCCCCCGCCGCCGCTGCCCCGCCGCGGGGGCCCCTCCGCCCGCGGAGGGAGCGGGAATGAATGAATGAGCATCCGAAGACATGTCACAGGACCACATGAAACAAACGGAAAGATCAGGGCAAGGGCAGGCTCCTTGCCTGGCCTCCTTGGCCTGGATGCGCTGCATCAGCGCCTGCAGCCTGACTTCGGGAGGGGGGGGAGGGGAAGGGAGCGAAGGACGAGGAGGAGGCAGGGAAGGGGGTGAGGAGGAGGCCGAGGAGGAACCGTCCTCCTCCGCCTCCTCCTCCCCCCCTTCTGCCTTAGTTTCCCTCCCTCCTCGCCGCTCCCCACTTCCTTTCCTCAGCTCCTCCTCATCCTCCTCCTCCTCCTCCTCCTCCTCCTCCTCCTCCTCCTCCTCCTCCTCCTCCTCCTCCTCCTCCTCCTCCTCCCTCCTCCTCCTACTCCTTTCCTCCTCCTCCTCCTCCTCCTCCTCCTCCTCCTCCTCCTCCTCCTCCTCCTCCTCCTCCTCCTCCTCCTCCGCTTCCCCCCTTGATCGCCCTCTCCTCATCCTTCATCCTTCTTCCCATGTCAAGGGGGAGAGATGGATGAGGGACGAGGAGCAGCAGGAGCGGCGGCAGGACGATGCGGTGGAGAAGGGCGAGAGGAAGGGGCCGAGGAGCGGAGGAAGCGCGGAGGAAGCAGAGGTCGGTGAA